ACATGTCAGTCTTTTGGCCGTCGAGACTACCGCCAGTCTGCTGGTTAGACAGGCTGTAGTTGAGTCGTCCGGTGGCCGGGCATTTGGCGCTGATACTCGTCTGCCGGGAGCAGCCATAACATTGAACACAACAGACGCCTTTGTTTCTTGGCTCCCTCACGTAAGCTGTTCTCGTTGTTGGTGACTAGGTTTGCTCTAGTTTCTCAACATTCTATCTTCTTGCCCACACGATATACAAATATTTATAGTTGTGGGAAAATTCAACTATTACTCATCACCTTAAACGAAATTGGGTGAACGCATCTCATAAATCTGATTAACCTGTAGTCTATTCTTATAGCAAATATAACCTTGCCTCATCGGCAATCCCATCGCAAAATGTTATATGGGGAAATGCTTGGCCCTCCTTAAAATGCGCACCTGCCCTTTGACCCAGGGACACTCGTGGGAATGTGGCGTTTGGGTTACCATGTTGAGATTATATACTGCATTGTTATAATTCGAGTCCCTCTAAGGGTGTTAACAAAACTTAGGCGAGGTTGAAAATGCAGTCTACCCTGGGTGAGAGTACCTTTTGCGAAGCAAGGCTATGTAAAATTTTATAGAAACAAAGCTTGCTCATATTATTGTGGGAAAATTCAACTACCAGTCTTTTATCACCCCAAACGAAATAGGGTGAACACATCTATTGCTTTTTACTGCACATCCTTTTTGGTGAGCTCACCTTCATTTACAACCATCATGAATAATTCATAAAGCGAACTTGGTTAGTCAATTTTAAGATAAAGGTTTTAGAGACCTTCAGTTAATCTTGAATAAGAGCTCTAATTACTCTAGGTTGCACAAGGTACGAAAGAGCTGGTAGATAGATTTTCCCACAATCATATGCATGGGCCTCACTTTCTTCTCGAATATCAATTGGCATTGCTTCCCAAAATGTATTCGCAACCAGAATGGACTACAGATTCAATCACTCCTAGGTCCTATCAGCCCCTCGTTCGGGAATCGAACCCAGGTATTGCATCCACATTTCAACGAGTGAATTTCAGTTTTTATAGTAGGAAAACTTGTGTTTTGTCATTCAAATAGAGAGCATTACATATATATTTTAATAGGGTAAGCTTTTAAGAAGATC